TATCTAACCTGTAAACTGGCATGCTTCTTGTAACGCAATGTAAATTGTGAATAAATAATATAATTATTATTGTCTGTTATCACAGTGTATATTTTGTACTAGCTACTCACATACTCTGAGTTGAATGTAAATAATGCAACCATCTAAACAAAGCGACAAATCACGTTTGCGAGTTTCATCTATTCTTTCATGAAATGTGAAATGTGAGTGTGAATGCTCAGCTGAAAAAGTGGAATGTTCTTCTACCTAATGGTCTAACAATGATGAAAGGAACCTACAATCACACAATTTGAAATAACCATTGATGATTGTAGGTGAATCACTTGAGTGAATCAGAGCAACATTTATGGGTTCATCAAAGGTAAAGAGTGATGCAGATGCATCGAAGTATGGATACAGTTTGAGGTCACGCAGACGTCAGCATCAAAATAATTGTAAGTTATGAGCACACTGGACGTCAGCTAGAGCTGATTCATTGATGACGTGACTTGGAAAATGAAAACACGCAGAATTATATTTGACAATAACTCACATCCTCCAACGTAGCCTTACGTTCATCACACTTTTTCTTATCACGTAAAAAATTATGACGGTGAATATCGAAACCATATAATGAGACTAAAAGATTGAGCTATAAATCGGTCAATCAGAATAAAGACGGTCATTTAGACTCGATGGAAATCTGATATATTGAACATTTAGTTACTGATATTTAGAAGCTGGCAATTAAAAAATTATCATCTGGTAAAGGAACACTGTCGTTGATGATAGGTGCTCCTATTATTTATGATATTATTGGGGAATCAAAATCACCGGAATTCAATTGCAAAATGTTATTATTTTGTAATTTTATTTTTGCTGTTCGAAATTTCTTGTTTTCATGCCAAAGACGGTTAGTTGAAATTCGGTTTACATATTTCACTTGGGAAATCCCTGAGTGACGTTGATTGATGAATGATTTTAGTAAGCTATTTTTGGCTCTCACCAAGGGCGTTATATCTTTGTATAAAAAAGCTCCAGTGTTGCGTGTGAGGGCGTGTGAAGGAATTCTCTCTACGTTTATCAAGACTTCTTCCTTTAATTAGCGGGGCCTAGCACAATCGAATTAGCATAGCCTATCGTGTCAGTGAATCACATATCTTCGTTCTGTTTACTGAGTGAAGTGAACTCATAATAGCTGGAGCAAATCGAATTCCAGCTTATCCGTCTGCGTTTAAAAATAATGATTTTTTCATCTAGTTTGGCCATAGTTAACTCAAGGTTGATCATCTGGCTTGCGTCATTTGTGTGTGACAAACGCGAACACCTCACATACATTAACACTTACAGAATAGACTATCAGAGTCTCATATAATTCCCATTCACAATGTTCGAGCTAGCGACTTCGTTGAGTCGAAATGTAGTCATCCAGCCTTCCAGTTTTGTAGAGTGATTGGTTTATCCAATCTCCACTAACTGATTAGCTTTATTATCTAGAGGGCTCAGAAAGTAAGTTACTACTGGCTACTACAAGCATTCACCTTGGTCGAGATAATCTCAAGGTCGACAAAAGTGAAGCGGCTTCAAAACACTTACATTAAATCAGCCACAACTTTGCTTTAATTTTGATTATCTATTCACGTGATTGCAGGATAGGTTCCAACTAGATAAAATACACATAACATTATTCATATACTTGATGAGATTGATATTGTGTTTTATAGAATTATATTCAAGGGAAATTTGAGAGAATATCAAGCAAAAATCAATCGCGTTACGGTTTAAGATGAAGTAGAAAATATTTAACGTAGATGGATTAGAACGTGTTTTTATGAAGTATGGTGAATTACTAACCCTCGATAATCGCTCCAACTAGAATCCTTAGTTGTACAAAAACAATGGAAAAAATAGTTGACATGAAATAGTGAAATAATATACAATAAGAAGTTTTCAACAAAAACTATCAATGTCACAAAAAATATAGAGTATTCTACCAGTTCGCAGAACTTGAGAAAATAATATGCGGTGAGTATCATCACCTGTAAATGGAAAAATGTAAAGAGTTACATTATCAATAACTGCATTTATCATTTAACGTTATTGCGATAAAAAATTGAATATTCAGCGAGGAATTCATTCTTTGTTTGACATTAGTTTCAGAGCTTCTGTGTTTGAGTATTTTATTTCACTGTTTTATATTTCCTTCGAATATATATTCTATCCAGAATCTTTACCATTACTGCTAATACTGCTACTATCTCTAATATAGTTTGATTTGGATTTAAAGTGTTAGAATCATCATGATAGTTTTACTTGGAAAAACGAAGGTTATCTACCGACGGAATTCACAACGTTTAAAAATTGCTCATGACCAGTGAGTGATCTGTGCGATAGTTGTTTAATGAGACGAGTTACGTCAACATTCAGTTAGTTGAAGAAAGAAACCTACAAAATAATCGAAAATTCTTCTTCCAATTTCTCAGTTTCAAACAGTCATTTTATGATGTCGGAAATGCTGACGCTTCGCTTGCGAATCTATCCTGATTGTTTCTTTTAAATGCTTAGCTTAACCAACACAAATAATTCAAAGCTATAGTTTCATTCTTGATTATGATATTTGATAATGCACAACGTAAAGTAACAGGTATGAAGGTGCAATGAAAATTCAACTGCTCATCACAAACTTACAATGAACATTGCACTGCACCAACAAGTGAACGACAAAACTGAGAATGGAATCTAGAGCAAGGAGACGAAAACGTTTCATTTCAAATCATTTTGGGGATATTTGATTAGCATTACTAAAACGTAATTCATTCACATATATAGCTACTGGTGTTACCATGATAGTGGTGCAGTGCATCACGACGGAATCAAGCTAATATAGTTTTCAAATGTCACTCCGATTTTCACTCTTGTTATTTTGTTGAACATCTAATTAGTGCCATCGGCAGTAGCACGATAAAAAGTCTTATGCACAACGTTCGAAAACATGCTGAGATCGCATCATATTGTCTTATACTTATTCAAAATTAATTGTCTTTCTCAAATCCTCGACCGAGTTTTGTGTAATTAAAGGTTTTTTCGGAGTGATGACAGCACCTGTTGATCTTTTTTGTTTTTTTCGTGTATGCACCACATGTGACTCAACGTGATCGCCAGTTACCATTTACGCATCAAGGATGATGCCGACTTTCATCATAATTTTTGTATATAGTTACCGCTGGTCAATTATTAGTTGACATTCAGAAATAATTAATAACATAAGGTACACTGTTTGTAGTTGAATTATGGATTTTTAACTATCGGCAAAACAAATGCATTATGTGATCATTTTGATACGATGAAGTTATAACTGCAGATCAACTTACTTTACACGCATACGAATCACACGGTTCCATGTAAACTATCATTAAAATAGAAAAGAGAATCCCAAGTGATAGCAATGCACAGGAAACTGAAATCATTAGTATCTTCCACTTTTTTGCTGAACCTTGCAACTTCTCACCCAAAATGATACCGTAAATTGTCGACATATATGGCACAGAGACAGCAATGGTGTATTCATACCATTTTCCATCTAGAGTCAGTAATCTCACACCAACAATCATAATAATCAACTGAAAAGAAGACTTATAATGTGTTAGTTTACTGTGATTGCAAGGAGGAAGTAGTAAACAACGTGAAAAGTAACTGAAAAATTGGTTGTTAGTGGTGGTCTATCAATGGTTGATTGATGGTTTTAAATGTGTAAAAATACAAACCTTCAAAGCTCTGCTTGAAAATAACTGAAAAATATCTGGTCAAGCATTGTTTTCCTTTGTAATGCCTGCATGTCCAATGGTTATGGTTAGAAATGTTTTTTATGTGCCTCTTAATCAATTAAGCCATACTAAAAGTTGTGAGATACTTCCTAAACAAATGTGCCTATCCTTTGCCCATGATAATCTAAGATGGGCTATTTGTAGCACAAAAACAAAACATGAAGTGTTTTAAGTATGTAGAAATTTCTCAAACGAACTCGCTCATCCATTGTATTTGTGAATGTAAGATAACCGTATGCATATGAATGTCATCTTCATTTGTCCATCATGTAATTCGCATTTTCTTGTGACTATAATACTGTTCTGACTAGCCAAATATACTTACATTTGCATATCAATATTACTGTATAGCTGAGTGAATCCTGCAAAGAAACATTATTTTTTGAATTGACATAATTCTCATCAGTTGACTGTTCGTATCAACTCATCCTTGAAAATGCCTGCAAAACTGTCATTGTTCTATATAATGTCATCTCTGGAAATTCAATGAAAATGTACAAAGTCATAAATATCATAAAAAATCACGTTTGACTAACGGTTGTAATAATGAAGATGGTATTCTTTATAGATGGATCGTGTAATTTTTTGCTGAGAATTATTATGAGTACCAAAATTAGTGCGATAGTGCTGAAATGTGAAAATAAAATAAACAGCACAGTAATTTGAAGTGAGGAATAAATGCAGTACGATGGATTAGCAGTCCTTCCAAATATATGGGCATCGAATCCTCAGAAATTTATATAAGCAACATTTTTACATTGGTATATTCGAAAGACAGCCAAAGTAGTTGACAAAGAGAATACTTAAGGAGTGACTGTAATGAAGATGGCACATTATTCACCTGTAAAATGTGAACATTTTCGACTTTAATATCTTCATTTTGGTTAGATTTTAACACAGTTGATCTAATTAATGATCACAAATAATTGATATGATGTGTGATGACGTACAATAGTAATGTATAAAATAATTTCAGATGTTTAGGGTTTTGCTTACTTACAATAAAACCAGACCTGATATTCGCCATCTATCCTCCCATTTGTTTCGGCAGAAACTATAAAGTAGAATGATAAATATTTAGCCGACGTGAATATCTTACAGGCACATGGTTGAATTGGTACAGACATTTTTGGGATTCGCATCCAACATTTGACCAGATGCCCGGGATAAGATCGCTGAAATATCTAGATTATATAAAATCAATTATTCCAACTTAGAATGAATTTGTCAAAAAGTGTGGATGCAAGTAATCACGATGAGTAAATACATGGATTGCACGAAAATGAAACATTTTATTAACATTTCTTTCGCTTTTAAGTGTATGTTGGCAAGTTTGAAGTAATGCACACACGACATTGTTAAATAATACAGTTTTATGAGCAGTTATCAATTGACGACGACTCAGCACTGTGTTTAAGCTCTCTATAAACAAATCTTTCTATCAATATGTCCGTCATACACGATTCTATCTTAATTGAATCAAAATAAAATTTGATGCAGACACACAATCTGTGCAGTAATTCACTGAATCGAATCACACATATCAAATATCAAATAATGAAAGCTTGCAGACTCACATCACTGTTTTTCAGCCTTCAGTTGCCACAATTCGATAGAATCACCGTAATTTATAACCATATACAATAATCATTTTCTAACATATATTGATCCACAAGTTATTACTGAGTAACTGAACTTTGGACCAACTAAAGATAGAAAATCTATACAAACAACAGCGGCTTATATAGTTAACTTGGAAATACAGTACATTCAAAGAACAGCTACGCAATATTGTTCTCAAATACTCTCAAATACTCATATACCTCATAATCCGTTGACCATGATATTTCATATCATTTTTCAGTTGAATCTTTTAATGGTTCCGTGATGAAATAATCAAGATCTCAGACCACTCAATCAAAAAACGGAGTTAATGACATAAAAAACCTAATATTATCTACAAAATAAATTGCTCAGACTGTGAAAAATAGTTGACAGTACAAAGTTGACGTTCTTATCAGCTTCATTCGCCTAAACATCAGTCAGCAGTCAAATAACACAATATTTTTTCCCCTCGTCTAACACTTAAGCACAGCTATCTAGGTACTTTCAGCTGTAAAAATGTCTGAATACAGAATACGGACTCCCAACAATTTAGTGAATGAACATTCAAAACCATAACGCTATCGACTAAATTTATCAAACAACATAGGATCATGAAACATATGAAAAGCGGATGCAATCAAAATAGAGGTTTAAAGACAATTAAAGCTCTTCATGATCGATGATAATCGAATAAGCTACAGGTCAAACAAGAAGAAATACGAATAATTAACTGATATCTTAATTCGTGCTGATGATGTTGCCCAGAAAACAATAATAGATTCCTAACCAAAATATTCAGTTCAGAGAGGAAAACTTCAAAATATCATGCGTCTGAGCTACAAAGTTTCTCTATCATCTCGATTGCATATCTTACCCGGGCTCATTTAGTTCCATGAGAAGTCGTATGGCATTTTAAAGATCAGAGCTATAACTTCAGATTCTATTCCCAAAAGAGCCGTGTACAACTACATAATATTTGTACAATCAACTTTTGCGTTGTCAATATCCAGGCTGCCATCATAAGCTTCTAGCAAAATGCAATCCATGGTCATTATCTATATCATGTGATGTGATGAATAACAATCCATCTTTGTCGCTATCCATTACTTTCATTTGTGCTGTCTCGATATCATCCATATTGTTTAAGACAGGACAACAAAATGTTTCGGCACTTCTGCTGGGAATATTTATATTATCCTGGAGGCTAGTACAATCTAGAAGACTAGAAATTGACCGTTGCTACCGCCAAGACACATGTATATCTAACATTCGAGATAAAGTACCAACGGTCATACTTGCGAAAAATGAATCAAAAACTTGCAAAACATTCTTCCTCACTATTTATGCACAAATATGGAAGAGACTTCATCTGTAACTACGCGTGACAGATAGAAAATATGAGTTTGTAAAGCCTTTTATTAAAATTCTAAGTAGCAACTCAGTTTTACTTGGCAATAACTGTTACTCTTATTATTCTAGATGACAGAAGAAGATCAAAACAAGAGAGGACCGTAAAGGACTATTTTGGGACAATTTTCACTCTGTAGACACTTCTCAGTGGAGGGCTAGATCTGGGAACAGTACAAAGATCTGCTATTGAAATGAACCTGACTAATTTGTCGATTGATTGACCACCATATTGAATTCGTCACGAGATCCAACCAAAGACAACGATCAAAACAACAAGTGAGTTTTGCCACTCTCGTAGTCTGACTTCCACAGCTGATTGATTCAAAATAACGTTCTAACGAACGCAGTAGCTGAGTTCGAAATACAGATTCATACGGCAGTTCACTATCTATTGAAACCCGGTGAAATAAATTACACACAAAAAAAATCGGAAAGTCCTTCATATTCAAAATCAAGCCGATTGTGTATCAGAAACCGCATCACCTAAACAGAACTGGTCCGAACATGGCTCATTGCCGTACAAGAAGCGTCAATAAATCTAAGACACGGTCTCGAACAATTGAAACTAGTATCGGTCACGCCGATTTTCACAGGATATCAACGCAATTAACCTTACAAATACTGATCAGTGGAACTTAATTCATTGCAACTAAAAGTAACAGTGTCTCTAACATACGATTTTTTGAGCGATATTATTTATCCCGAAACGTACACTAGTGTTTGGCTGAGAGACCTAGTAATGTGATCGAAGATCGCAAGAGACAGTTGCTTGAAGCCGGTGTTAGTTCTACTATTCTCACGACCTGACTGTGGGAGACTTAAATCCGTGAGGTAAGCTTGTCAAGTTTAGGGTTAACCTTTCATAACCCGTTATGACCTTTTTTGAAGGCAGCAGATTCTTGTTGTACGGAGGAAACACCTTACTTGTGTTACAATCCTGTACAGTCAGCATTAGGACTTATTCCTCAGACCTTGAGTAGATTCTTTCAGTCTCAAAGTTCTGCTCTGCATTGTAGAAACTTCAGGAAAGTATGTTTCAACCAATATATGGCTAGGATTGGTCCGAAAACAACATCAAATCATCAGCTAAAATAATTATTGTTGGAATATTGCTCTGGTCAACCAACTATCTTACATATATTTAAACCACTCTGCTTTCATCAGTGTTAAGTGACGAGTGGATTTTGGAACTCTTTTCTGCACAAAATATGATACAAAGTCTAGTATATTGATTTGTAATTGTATATTAAGTACCGAACATATAAAGTATTTCAATTCAGAAAAAATCAGCTGCTTACACACGCTTGTTACCTCACACAGAGTATAGACTTTCAAAAAAATCTCCACATTTGCATCAACCAGGAAGTCTACTTATCTCAACATGATTTATTACAACGTTCATGGATTGATAATGCATTACGGCTCATAGCTTTCCTTCAACCTACTGATCATGCACAAAGTAGCATTTCTTGTTGAACGTATCGTTCGATAGTATATGTAACTTCCATCTCAATAACTGTATGCTACTAACCTACGGCTTTCCTCTGTTCCTAAAGGTTATGTTTCTTGTACGTAAGGTTAAGTAGTGCTAACTGTGGCTTAGAAGCCTCATAGTGTTTAGATTAGTAGCATACACGTGACTGTCGCTACAAATATTGTCAAAGAGACCTAGTTCCGTTTAGTGCTATGCTGATAACAGTGAGATCAAGCGGACAGCATCAAGACCATTTGTGATTTTCCATTGCTCGAATCAAGAAAGGAATTACGACGACTCGTGAGGCTAATCAACTAATTTAGATGACTCCTTCGAAACTACGCAACTATATTGCAACTGTCAGTAGTTACTTAGCCAGGATGTGTCCGAACACTTCACTTGTCAGCAGATGCTATACACGAATTCGAGAAAGCTGTGTGCATTGTTAATGAAAGGACAATGATTGTAAAACAAAAACAGGAGGCTCAATCAGTTGTCATGGCTGTTGCAGCTGTGTTTAAGTATTTCGTAAACAGCACTTGGTAATCAATTTCTCTTCTTTCTAAAAGACTTTGTGTCACTTGAACGGCGTATAGAACGTTTAGAAAAGAAATTCTAGCGATTTACCCAGGAATGGTGGAATTTCGACTTATGTTTGAGGGTAACGTTCTCAGAGTTTACA